GGGGGTGGGGGTGGGGGTGGTGGGGGATACATTAAATTTTGATCTGAAGCTTTCATAGTTGTTTCCAAGTACCCTTTGCTTAGATTGTCTCAGAACTCTAGCATAAGAAGGGACATGGTTTAACAATCTAAATCTGCACTGTCACTATGTGTTTACTGAATTAACATTGACATTCAGACAATTAAACATTTGCTTTCCTGGCTGCACTGGACACGCGTTAGGTACTCATTGGCACATGTGGCTACTGGATAAGACAGCACAAATATAGAACATTTTTATCATCATACCAAGTTCTGTGTTAATCTGATTAACATTTATTTTGATCAAGAGTTTAAAGTATTCATTAGTCATTGAAGTTACTAGCTAAGTTGAACTTTTATTTCTTCATTTTCATTTTCCAGTTTTTGGAGCTGTGAGGGATACAGCGGTTTGATCAATATTGTCTTAACATGCTTCAAATAAATCAGGTGAGTTTGTGTTAAGGAGTGTCATATTAACATGGTGTTTGGCTGTAAATTGTGGAATATTGTAATTCAGCTTTTCTGTAACAATAATTTGACCACTGCTTTATGGAGGATACATAACTATCTAAACACTGGAGACTGGGTAGGGCAGGCCGTTTAAGGAAAATTATGATGGTTCTAAAAGTTGGTAACTTCTGAATGTGTAGAGAAAACGTTGGTCTGTTCTTCCTGATGTCACATCCCCCCAGGATTTGTTAGTGTGTTCAGAATGTCTCTGATCATGATACAGCATCAGCTGTGGGCAGTTCTGAGGACTCAGAGCATTTTTAGTGGTATGTCTTGTGAAGAGACTGTGTCAGCATCATAAAAAAGATCCCTTTTCTACATTGACAAAGACTAAAAGGAACTACACTGCTAAATAAACTATAGCATATAATACTTTACAGTCACTGAAAGAAGTAAACTTTTTTAGGTCTTGGCCTTTCTCTAAGAACTGCATGCATTTTATTTTACCTTAAGCAAACAACACAATATTGTAGCTATAATATTATAAAAATGCTTCTTTTTAAAATTTTTGTTTATTATTTTTATTTTTTATGTATGAATGTATTGCCTGTATGTATGTAAGTGCACGCATGTTGTGCAGTGCCCGAGGAGGTTAGAAGAGGGTGTCAGATTCCCTGGAACTGGAGTTATGGATGGTTGTTAGCCACCATGTGGGTTCTGGGAATTGAACACTGGTCCTCTGCAAGAGTAGCTGGGTCTCTTAACTGCTGAGCCATCTCTCCAGCCCCTCAAAATACTTCCTTTATTTGAAATCAAGTGATTAAATTTGTTTTCTGTGATTTGAGAGAGTAATCCAACAACTCTCCATGCTCAGTCTCATTCACCTTCCCTATGAAAGCTCTGGTTCCTGTATGTTCAATACTATGTCTAAGCCAGTGACTTCTGTCTAGGCCTCTTCTGAGCTCTAGAGTCTTATTTCAGTTATCAATTTGATCTCTTAACTTTAGTCTTTACACATCTCAGACTTGATATGTGCCTAACAAAGAATCTAAATACTTCAGCTGTCCTGGACTGATTTAGTTCTGAGATTGGGCAAGGTCATTCCAGCTTGATGGCCTTTGCACAGACTATTCCCACCTGGACTGTTTTCTTCTTTCTCATTTGGCTTCAGTTAACCTCAAGCCTAGTATATATCTCGTAGCACTTTGTTTTTCTATTTATTGGCAATCCGACACTTGCAGTTACATTCATATATGAAAATAGAGCCTTCTGTATCTGTGGATAAGGCATCCTTTGGCAATATATCTGTAGATTCAATCACCCATAGGTTGAAAAGATTAAAAAGCAAATTCTTTCTGCCAAACTTTTTTCTTAGCCATTATTTCCTAAACAACACAGTTGTACATAGCGTTTGTATCACCTTAGATATTATAGATAACTTGCAGATGATTTAAAATATACTGGATGATTTGTGTAAACCTGTGTGTATACTGAGCATTTTATATAAGAGGCTCAAGCATCCACAGATCTTGGTATCTGAGAGATACAAGGACTGACTCGGTTAGTGTGACATTTGTCTCCCTTGCTAGATGTATGCTCCATGAAGCAGTGATTTTGCTTGTTTATATAATTTTTTTTTCTTAAAAAGAACTTTCTACATGAGTGGTTGGGTGCTAAGGTTGCTACTAAAGCAAAGAGATCTCCATTCTTTCCCTTAATAGCTACACAATTATGTTGTACATTTAGGTATTTTATAATCTTTGCATCATACAAGTGCCGTTCACATAAAAAACCACCTTATGCAAAGTTGTTCTTTCATTTTTTTTCCCTCCATATCAGGAAAATTTTTTGTGCAACAAAACTTGCTTTTATCAAAGACATTTCTAGTAGAGGCTTGAAGGCCTCCTTAGCATGTTCTGTGTTTAGTCCCATCCAAGGCATCAGTGGTCATTTTGTGTGAGTTGTCTTACAAACTGTGTTGTAGGTGTGAAGGGGTCGCTGAATGATTTTCAGTGGCTACCTGGCATGGATCGCTACATTGGGAAAAGTTAGAATAATTTGTTTCATATTTTTGTATAGGTAGAAATGATCACTCATTTTTATGCTAGTCAACTTCATTGAAAATTAGTGAATGCATTAGTACTAATGAGGATTTACTAACTTGCTACATTTAAAGTCATTGAATCAGGCTTTGTATACAATTCCTGGGGCTTTGGTTAGAAATTTTAATTAGTGCTCAGAGATAGATGAAATTAGCTTGTTAAAGATTTAATTGATTCCTAGGATCAATTGAAAGTCCTTTATTGACTAGGTTTCATCCCTCAAAATGTTCAAATCAGAGAGGAATAGTTAACATAATTGAGAGTAGTGGAAGTGGGAGACTTCCCCGCTGGACAAGCTTAAATTTGAATTATTAAACTTAGGAGTGACTTTTATCTCTTATGATTTTCATGGCAATTGCTATCTCATGAGAGTGAGGCTTTGCAAGATTAAAGTGAAAAGGGATGAAAAGGGATTTCAGCTGATCCTTAACTTGAAACAACTGAGATTTTTACTACTGATTTTTAGTACCGCCTCTAGGATTAGTTCCAAGTTTGTATTTGGTAAAGTTTTTTTCCCTAAAGTGCTTAAATAACTGCATACTTCTCTTGTCTCAACAGATTTTTTTACTAAAACTAATTGAAATTGAGGTTACACTAATATGCTGTATTATACTATGTTATCTAATAATTTATTTAATACTGAGTCTGTCAAACATTATTATTGTGATATATGGAAATGTTTTGTGCTCTGTTATGACATTGTTTTCTACCGTTAAATTGCCATCTTCATTTTTGCTTTTGGCTTTTAAGAAAGTATTATTATCCACATATAACTCACTGTAGAAAAATTAGGTCATATGGATAAGCAAAAAGAAAACCCACAAAAAATTCACTGTTTTTTACAGAGGTAATCACTGCTAACATTTTGGGGTGTGTATTGAGATTTTTTTCTATGCTATGCAGGTATATTTCTGTGTGAATATTTTGTTTTTAAGAACTAGGATTATATAATATGTAAACTTCTGAGGTGATTTAATAATAATTTTTAGTTTGAAGTGCTAAAACTTAAGTAAACAAATAACCAAGCCCTTATTAGTGCCACAGTGAATTTTTTATATATGGGTGTTCTTCTAATTATTATTACTAATTACTAGAAATTAAATACCAAAGAGTATGCAGATATTAAAGGTGTTTGACATGTAAATATAAAAAACATGAAACTATATTTACTAGTAAAATATGAAAATGCTTGTTTCCTTACTTCTCTGACACATTTTCTTTTCTTTCGGTCTTCTTTGAGACAGGGTCTTCCTGTAGCCCCAGGGGCTGGCCTGGAACTCAGGCTGTTCTCAAACTCACAGAGATCCACCTGCCTCTTCTGACACATTTTCTTTTCTTTTCTTTCTTTTTAAAAAAAAAATTATTGAGAATTTCATACAGGGATATAAGCATACAAGTGTTTTGATCAAATCTATGCCCACTCACTCCCCTCCAACTCCTTCCATATCTCCCCATCACTTTTTTCTGATTAAAAAAAGTGTACTTCTCTTTCTTCTTCTTCTTCTTTTTTTTTTTTTTTTTTTTTGTTTTTAAAAATTTTTTTTTTTTTTTTTTTTTTTTTTTTTAAGGAGCTGGGTGTGGTAGCCTGCCTGGTCTACCTAGAGAGAATTCCAGGCCACCTGAGGCTACAGTAGACCCTGTCTCAAAAAACACCAAAAATATATATTTTTGTTTTTTTTTTTAATTTTTAAAAACCTACTTTCTCAGCCCTCCTGTGTATCTCCCCTGCCTGTGTCCTGTGTCTGGGACTCTGCTTGCTTACCTTGCCACTACCCCACCCTCTGTTCCACCTGACCCTAGGTTCTGCCCCATGCCACCTTCTCAAAGGCCACACAGACTTTTCCCACCTTGACTCATTCCCTTCCCCAGACTCTGCTGCATTTCTCTTCTCTGCCCTCTTGTTAAGGAGGCCTCAAGAGAGAACATGGTGCTCACCGTTTCCCCGCCCTCCCTTTTGCTATCTTGAGAGCCCCTCCCACTGAGCACAACCTGTCTTGGTCTCCAGGGAACAGGTAGTGCTCAAAGGTCTTCCTCATGTGTTGGGAAGATTTGCCACCATAACTGTTTTAATCTATTTTCTTAATTCATAGGCTGGGTCATTTATAAAGAGATTTCTCACAGTCCTAGCTAGAAGCTGGGAAGATGAAGTCAAGGGGCCATATCTGATAAGATCCTTTTTTTGAGACAGGATCTCCCTGTAGCCCCAGCTGGCCTGGAACTTACTGTGTAGACCAGGCTGACCTTGAACTCAGAGATCTGCCTGCCTCTGCCTCCAGAGTACTGGGATTAAAGGCATGTGCCACTGCACCCAGCTCTTTCTCATTTTTTAAAATTTACACATTTTTAAAATATGTATGAGTGTTATGTCTACAAGTATATAAGTACATCCATGTCGTGCAATGCCTGCGGAGGTCAGAAGAGGCTGTCGGGTTCCCTGGAACTGGAGTTATGGGTGGTGGTTAGCCACCATGTGGGTGCTGGGATTCAAACCCAGGTCCTCTGAAAAAGCCACTGTTCTTAATCACTGAGCCATCTCTCCAGCCCCATCTTTTTTTTTTTTTAATATGAG